AATTTATTTAGTATTGCCGAATAAACAGTGAAACTCTTAGAGCATCTGGTGCGCGGTTGTTTTGATGCGCTCAAAACACCCCAGTCAGCTGACATTCAATTCCGTTTCTTTCTGGGACAAAATTTTGAATGGAAGCCAAATAGGACGCGATCTAGCAGATCAAAACACCTTCCATACTATAGAAGGAAAATATCATACCTATACCACTAACGCCTGACCCTACTTTCGTAATACAAAGTTCAAGATACGTAACACAAGAGTTCATATAGTTAAAATGCATTGAAAGATCTCTATCTTTGTTCCATAGCTTTCTCTTACTAGAACAAACCCTCTCTACATCTCAACATCCGAAAATTATATTAAAGAAGCGATACATAGTACTATAGAAAAAACCCTTGCGCCCTTCACTCAAAACAGCTACTACTACACAACAAATAATGTGCCATGTCTTATACAAGCAAAGATGTTCTCAACTCACCAGCAAGGCTCCCAGCTACGCAGGCCAGTACCAGCACTGCTTTCAGTTCCATAGTGTAGCTGCAGTGCAGTTCTTCAATTGACTCGAAGCGCGCAGCGCGCTCGGCTATATACCCCGTTTATCACAAAGCAGGGTCCAAAAGTCACCTCTTGACAGCTGGGGAAAATGTTGATCTCAGCGATAATTTATTCAGATACGGGGCGAATCCTCTCGAGTTTTGAACCTTAGGGCCAGTCCTAAGTAAGTTATTCATCATTGTTTAAACAATGCTGAGGGCTTTGTTAATCATAAACAAGGAGATAGGAGGGATGACATGTAAAATGTGAGAAGTTGCATAAATTATTTCTAAATCCTGCAATAGGTGCTGCAATGCGTGACAGGCACTTGCTGTTGGCCCAACCTCCCGCGCTTGTAATAAACCAGCGCCTTATTTGCATCATCACATGGAAATTTTACGTTATGACAAAATTGAAAATACATGTGATGTTAATCTAAATAGATGCTGATAACTCGAAGCGTCGGTTGCAGATATAAAATGTTCAAAAGTTTTTAAGTGTCTGTTATAGAATGAATTCGGTAAAATTCCCTTCCACCTTCTACTCCCCTACCCCCACCCCATCTCGCCTTTCTCCCTCCTCTCTCTCTTTCTGAATGAATGCATACTGAGAAACCAATGGCGTAACATTTTTCAAGTATTTGGAGATCCGAGTTCATGCCAGATGACAAATATACGTCATTTCCAGACATTTGGTGAGCTATAAGAACAACTGAATGTGGTTTCATATGGATGGAATAAATAGTTTTGTATTGTTATTCACCAAATATTCAAAAAGAAATTTGTGCGTGAAACTCTGGCATTTCGTAATTTCACGCAAGACCTTGGCATTTTTTCGCGCACAGCTTGTTTAACCCGCACGCGCAAACGTAACAAAGCCAAAAGGGAGTATGACTTGAGTTAAAAAAATCATGAATGACTTTAAAGGAACTAGAAGTTAACTATTTCGAAAAAACAGTGTTTTAAAAGAAAATGATATGAAATTCAACGGTGGAGACCCCTAGCACGTGTTAGGTACTGCGCACTTCCAGGGGTTTCATTCGTTATCACAGGTTGTTGAGTACAGTTTCAAATAGTTAGGTGTTCCTTCAACTGTGATTATAGATAAATTAAGTCATTTAGTGCAATGCCATACAATTTGCGCAGCGACAAAACGTTTACTGTTGCACGTGCACGCGCGCACACACACACACACACATCACTCGCTTCTCTATAGCCACGTCGTTGGCTGCCTATCTCAAGGAACCATTTTCTTCAGTTTATGTCGATTCGAAGAAAAAGCATGTCGCTCTTAAATATCAATCGTTTTTTTTTTTTTTTTTTTTTTTTTTTTTTTTTTTTTTTTTGTCAATTGTTTTTTGATATATTTCAAAAGCGACCAACTCGCCAGGCGTCATTTCTGTACCGAATTACACCGTGTTTTCTCTCGAAATGGTTGATATGAAAACGTATAGGCCCTACAATAACCAATCTGTTCACTTTGCTCTGTTTATCACTGATCAAACTATCAGTACAAGGGAGGACAGGTAATGACACCTGAAATGACATCGTTTTGACAAGTGTGCTTAAGAGCACGTCACTTGGTGCAACATATGCACGTGTTTATAAACTGATGACTTATGGAGTTCAGGGCAATATGTACAAATTGCGCAGCTCGGGTATAGATCAACGAGTATAAGTCATTGTCCTTTTGCTTAGATATAAACCCTAACGTTGGACCTAAATATTGATGTAAATTTTCCATGCCACTGGCAGGTCTCCAAAGAACTGAACTAGTCACTGTTTGTCAGACAAATTCAAGTCGCGTGCCAATATAGTAGACTACAATTTTTCTATTTTGTATAAATAATGGCGATGATAATTGTTGCCATTGTGTATTGTTCGGGCGTCAAAGTTAACAAGCATAGAAAAAAATTAAAAGCATTATATCGACATCGGGCAAATGTTTAATTTGGTGAGACTCGGATAAAAGAGGAAATAGGGTACTGTTTGCAAGAAGGTACCCAGTGTCATAATAGAATCATACAGTGAAAATGAAAATGTTTGGTTGAATTAATGTTAAATGATCTAAATATTTTCTTGCACAAATGAATTTTTAAAAAAGGAATAAATAATTAGTTTAAAAGTGTGTGTGTGTGTGTGTGTGTGTGTGTGTGTGTGATGCAAATATGAGCGTGAGAGAGAGAGGGAAGGGGGAAGAAAGAGACAGAGAAAGAATGAAAATAAAACGGAAAAGAGAGAGAGAGAGAGAGAGAAGAGAGAGAGAGAGAGAGAGAGAGAGAGAAAGGGACAACGACATACGCTTACACCAAAAAGGAAAGAAAGAAGTTAACACTGGGACCTCAGGTAGACCTATTTCATTTTCAGTTGAGTAGTCTAACCATGAAACCATGAACCTGAATCCTTTCATGTAGTCTATATTTGGGGGTTATTCTTCAGGCTTTAGGCCTACAAACCACGTTCGATTCCTTTTAACGTTTTAACAAAAAAACCAAGGACGCATGTATGTATAGGCCTACATAAAAACTCAAAGATAACCGGAGGAGACGTCCTTTTTGGTCTACCGGTGACTTTTTAAGACATAAAAAAATATTTCTTCTCTCCTCAAGTTTTTCATTTTATTTTTTATTATTTAAAATATTGCTGAATCTTCATCGCAAAATAAAGTCGTTTTTATATGTATATTAAAAATTTCAGGAATCCAAAAGCGTCGTTGTGTTAAAAAAAAAAAGCTGTAGGAGTCATGCATGCATTTGAGAGATGTGATGATTTCTAAGTTCCAAATGTTATAACAGTGGCGGATTTACAGGGGGGTACTGACCCCCCTCCCCCTTCGATTTCTGAAAAATATCACACTAATATTCCCCTCTTGAAATTAGAATTTTGACCAGTTGGATCCTTATTCTAAACCGTACCAAATGGCACCATTCGCCTTCTAAAATAACAAAATTTTTGGGGACCTTCAGCGGACCCCGAACCCCACGCCAGGAAGGGAGGGGGAGGGGGATCGGCTTCGCATCTGCGGAGCCCCCTCCAAATAATCCTGGATCCGCCCCTGTTATAGGCCCTAATTATGATTTTTTTTCGGACTATGTGAAAAGCTTATTTAATTCGAGAGCGTAAAACCGAATTTTCCTCTGAAAATAAAAAATATTATCACTACCTTCATCTTAAGATTAGGCCTAAAATTCAATAAATTAACACCGTGTTTGAAAAGTAATTTTCTTGCCGTTCCCTCGTTTTTCCTACCCTGTTACGGTTTTCGAGATCTATTTATAGGCCTATTGTCTTTAAATAGCCTTTATTTTGAAAGAAAACTAGATTCATTTATGTTACCAAGAATAAATTCTTGATATTAGGGTATATCAATATATTTTGAAATAAAACTTAGACGAAGGAACACAAAATTATGTTTTCCTTCTTGATAATCGCCAGAAGTGCATATTCAGGCGTGGCACAGTAAGCCTATATGCGGGGGGGGGAGGGGGGGGGGCGGCGGGGCAGTCCAGTTTTGCAACTAGCCTACTCGTGGTCAGAGTAGTCCACCAAGATTTTATTTTAAATTGTGGGTGGACTTTATTATAAAGTCTTATAAGCCTCTTCCTTTACCCTAGTCCAATTGAAGATTTAATACGTGTCTTTAATGACTTTAATATTTTGCTGTAAACCAACCAGATGAGCAGGCTTACCACGGGACGGTATAAACAACAGACTTGTAGGCCTAAAATCATATAACACGCCTTTGTGGTGAGATCGTGAATTTTAATTCTCCAAATCACGAAAAGCAGTGCAAGTTATCATTAAAAGCTGCCGTCTGGTATAGCTCCCCCCCCCCCCTTTAAATCGGCACATCGACTGTGTAAACACAGTAAAACTATCAGCAGGTATGTCATGCGCTGGCTGGAGAGGCAAAAACTTTTGCGGTTGGTTCCCAAAATCGTACGATCTCGGCTCACAAGGAGCTCGAGACGTTTGATTGGATCACTATGTTAACACATGCGCAGCACCAACTTCCGTTCAAAACATCACGCCACATTTGTAGACTACATTTATTTGAAGATTCACTATATATTCGCAAAATTGAAGCTCCTAAGAAGAGGCTAAAGCTTTTGGAAGAAATTCCACTGAATCCCACATGTAAGTACGGTATTTTGTATTAGTTTAATTGCAGATTGATGGTAAAGGGAAGATACAAACGTAGTGCCCAATACTACTGTTACTAATACTACATTATATTTTGATACTCTACTACTACTACTAGTTGAACGTTGGAAGTTGAATGGAAAGCAAAGTTAACATCGTCTGTAATGATGGATTCGTGTTATACACAGCTATCTGCTCCTTCATCTGTATGTTTTAGGCTAAACAAAATGTTGGGACGGTAAAAAAAATCATTAAAACCAAACACACGGAAGTGCTCGAGACATGACCTTGACCTGAATTTCTCACCTGACATGGAAGGTAGATGTTTGTTTGGCAGGAAGGATGAGGGGATGGGGTGCTAGTTGTAGTTGCACAAGGAGCAATGTTACTAACTGTCATTTGTAAAGATGATGATGTGAAATGCCACTGGGCAGTAATGACTTACTACAATTTACAAAGTCAAAACTCCTGTATGATGTCTCATACATGTACATGATTTTCATCTTCAGTACCACATTATCAACATAAGATTCATTTTCAAACTCCACACTATATTACAGTCCAGGCAATAGTATTACTCATTATGAAAGTAAGATTCAGTGATAATCAGATTTCTGCATAAATGATACTGCACCTATAGTTTGCTACTGAGACTGACGTTTTTTGAAGTGTGAATAACACATTTAGCATATAGAGTGGTGTGATTTAACTGTTTTTTTAGATGAGATATAGATAGCTATATAATTTTACTGTACACTACACAAATTGGGAAGGATCCTAAAGTCATCATGCATTATAATGTATTGGTAATTTAATCAACGAGGCAGATAAAGCATTAAGGAATGCATTCTTTATGGGGGAGTAACAGATGGTCTTGTTTTCTAGTCAGGAAGTAAGACTGATGTAGTCTACAGTAAATAAATACATATAATATTAATTTTTCATCAAAAAATAATTTAAATGTGTAGTAAATATAGTAATTGTCACTGTCTGTTATGTCTTTTGCCTCTACGGGGTGAGGTTGGGGGGGGGGGGGGCAGAAAACATGCTCCCATATTGTACATGAATCTACATGAAGCTATTCATTATGTACCATTTAAATGTAATATAAATGATATGATTATACCCTTCAGTGGTATTTATTTTATGATTTTCTTTTTTTTTTTTTTTTTCAGTCCATAACCCAACCACAATGCCTGGTCAGAAATCAGTAAATCAGCAAAGTTGGCCACAAGATGTGGGTATTCTTGCCTTGGAGATATACTTTCCAGCACAGTATGTGGAGCAAAATGAATTGGAGGAGTTTGATGGAGTGTCACAAGGAAAATACACCATAGGTCTTGGACAGCAGAAAATGGGATTTTGCTCCGACAGGGAGGATATTAATTCATTATGTCTGACTGTAGTACAGCGCCTCATGGAGAGAAACCAGGTTTCATATCAAGATGTAGGCAGACTTGAAGTGGGGACGGAGACTGTCATAGACAAGTCTAAAAGTGTCAAGACAGTGTTGATGCAGCTGTTTGAAGACAGCGGGAATACCAGCATAGAAGGAGTGGATACTACTAATGCATGCTATGGAGGCACCTCTGCATTGTTTAACTCTTTAAATTGGATAGAATCCAGTGCATGGGATGGTAAGGACAGTTGTTTTGCGTGCCCCCCCCTCCTCCCAATACACACACGCCCCAAATCATCCCCCCCTGGATAATGCCCCCTTCCTATAGCTACATGGTAGGCTTTATATCTGTCATTTCTGCACTCCAATAAAACAATCTTCCAACGAGGTTTTAGCAGTGTTTTTAGGGGCACTAGTGCTAAAGTTGCCAAGTATAAAGCTGTTGAACATAAATCTGCACGTGTATTGCATTAAGAATTTGAAAGGGAAGCATATGAAAAGTATATTGTAACCCAGTTCCAATGTGTTTTGCTTCTGGAGAGATTTGGACTTTGAACTTGTTTTGCTCCTATCCAGCCACATGTGATTTTATATTGAAAGTACATGCACCTTTCAACCTAAATAGATCAGATTTCATGAAGTCATAAGACTTAAGAATAGCTGTGCAGAGGTAGAGCTTGACCCTTCTATTTATGGCATAGACAAGCCTGCTTCACCAAGACCACCATCCAACATGCAGTGTTTTGTTGTAAAATTAAGAAAATATTGGAATTACTGAATTTTTTTGAAAGAAAAGGTTATTTCATTTCATGTACTATCACAGAAACCTCTCAACAACTGAAAAATTCTGTTAGTTTCTTGAAATATATTTTTGTCATTTTAAAAGTATGTAATGCTGCAGTGCAATTTGTCCAAGCAACTTTTTGCCTGTCCCCTAAGCTTGTGTACTATTTTTACACAGACACAGCCTACGTCTTTTAAAAACATAGGGAAGTGCTTTTATGTTCTCTACATAACTATTTAGCATAAGTTCTAATGCAGATCTAGAGCTGCTGATTTGTTAAAAGTTCCTCTTTGTCACTAAAGACATTTTATCCTACATGTGGAGCACTTAAAAGTAATTCACATTGAGAGCCAAAGGAAAGCAACAAGTTCAAAGTCTTTCACAGTTCTTTGGGTGCAGCCTGATTTAGTAATTATGAAAAACTCAATAATGCAGTGTAATGAGAGACATTGCCTTTCCTGTAGCAGATGTTCATGTTGATACAAGTTTATTTGCACTTTGCGTGCATATATATATGTGACTGACTATTTACTCTTTACTAACTGAACTCCAGGCATTATAAACGGATTAGGCATTTACTAATGCTATTTGCGGGTCTTTTAGCACTTTTAACGACAAAACCCACGAATTAACCAACACACTGTACAATTATTTAGTACCAACATAGCAAAACCTAGCACTAACATTTATCTGCTCTGGTAGTGCTGGTTATTTTGTGAGTTATGTGGTTAATATGGGTTGTCTAATCCGTTTATAAGGCCTGAATTCTTTCTACCTATTTTCACACATTTGTGAAGAAAAGTTCATGAATAAGACATGACTACATTGTACTTTACAAAGGGCCCCCTAACAGATTCCACAGAATGATAAAATTCATTAAAAAAAGGGATGAAATTTGGGAAAGAGGGGGGAGGGGGAAAACAGTAAACATGACAGTTCAAATGATCTATATATGCACCACAAATGAATATTATTTCATTTACATCATCAATTGTATTGCCAATATATTTATATTTTAGGTCGTTATGCCATAGTAGTAGCTGGGGATATAGCAGTCTATGCTACAGGGAATGCTCGTTGTACAGGAGGGGCTGGGGCTGTGGCTATGTTACTGGGATCTCATGCACCTCTGGTGTTTGACCGAGGTAAGACGCTCAGTTTTTGCGAAATATTGTGGATCACTTTTGAGATGTTTTCATCTTCCAAAACTAAGCCACTGTTGATGTAATATCTATAAACAATGGGTATGCATGTTTATTGCAGCAATATTGCCGGAGTTTGCAAGAAAAAATTTATTGCTGCTAATTTGCAGCCATATTGCAGCAAATTTGCAAGAAAGAATTGCAGTTTGCAGTAATATTGCAGCAGGCCTGATATTTTACTAAGGTAACAGAAGAGAATCAAAGTTATGAGATGTGTGATTAAATAAGATGAAATAAAAGGATCATGTAAAATCTATTATTTATCCCTCTGAATACAAATTTATTACTGATATTTTTTATTAAATATAGAATGCATTAGACTTTAAGGGAGCTTGTGGAAGCAGTTTCTGGTATATGAATTTCCATCCTTATGAATTCAAGAAATATTTGCAATTGGATGATTAAAAAAATATCGTCAATGAGGAAACAGTTGTGACCTTTGTTAATGATTTTATTATTCATAAACTAATGTACAAGAGAAAGGCAACCTTTTACATGTGGTCCTCCTTAAGTGGTCTCTCTGTTTAAAGAGCTGGTTGTATACAGTGCTTTCTGAATAACCTGAAGGTCACAGGTATCATCTCAAACATTGAACTTTGTACCCTGCTTTTATTTACATTTAGTCAGTCAATCTCTAGTTATTATTGCTGCCTGTCAATCGAAAAGGGCACTGGGTAGATATTTCCATGTCTTGTGATTAATGGGAAAAAGTTTATGAAGTGTTTGAGTAGGGAGTTGAGTTCTTTGTTATCTGGTTGATTGGTTTATCTTGTTTACCTCAATGTGCAGGGATTTTTAAATATTAACCTGCACAGAGAAAAAATTGGGAGTCAAAACTCTAAACATCAAACAGATTGGCTAATTCTCGCGAGATAATTGTTTTCACCTATAACATTATTCATCTAATTAAGGTGTAAATTGAAATAGGAGGAAGCCTAAACGTGAACAAATGCTGATACCAAATCAAAGTGCAAAATGTAAATTGTGTCACAGTATGTGAGAAAGTTCAGCTAATATATAACCAGAATAGGTATGCTTAACTTATTACAGTAGGAAGAGTCCAAGGGTAGGGTCCAAAGTCCAACTGACCCAGTTTGTATTGGCACCAGTGCCAAAATTTTGAGCCTTAATCCCATGTTAATCTTGTATTGACAGATCACTGAGACATCCTAGGTAGCTAGCTATCTAGGGATGTTTGAATTTTGATATATAACATATGCACTGATTTGACACCTACAAGTTCCATTAATCACTTTACTTATGAGTTACTTATTAATGCGTTGGGGTTAGATTTTATAATAACTCAGTCATTGATCTACTTCTTGATTTGTACCCATTTTTACACATTTTGTTGATTTGACCCTTTTTCTCCAAGAAAGGAACAAAATGTTTTGCCTTAAATACTCAATTTTGGTTGCAACCAACATTTATGATTTGATGATTTGATTTTACTTAAAACCTTCAGAAACAAGAGAAACCCTTTCATTGCCACGCTGTTGGCACTAGTACTCTTTATGAATTGTCAACCATGTCTGCTCACTGTGTAAAAGGTAAAAAAGACGTTGTGCTTATGTAAGTCACTCTGACCCATGAGATGGATCACATTACAGTCAGCCCAATTCTTCAGAAACATATTCTTTTAGCATTATATAGTGAAAATGGTCAATAAAAAAGAGAGGAAAAAATTAATTATAAACAAATAAATGTTGCTCTCAGGTCTATTTTTGGACCAAAAGCAATTGGGATGGTTTTCTAGATTAAAAAAAAATCCTCTAAAGAAAACATGGTTGTTTGATTGTGTATCATTGACAGTTTCTTTCATCTGAAATATTTGTGCCAGGGGGTATTCCAGGAAAATTGATGTTTTGGTCATATGAGAACATTTGTTTAGATTGTAACCAAACTGTGGGCAAAGCCATTAAACATGTTCGTGTGGCTCAGATTTCAGTTTGAAAGGATTGGATCCAAGCTGATATCAGCTTATGTTTTTGCTGCATCTTTATATTTTCACTTTTACTCTACATGATAGATGGGTTGGATATTTCAAATAATGCAGAGAATTGCTTGCTACCCTTTCTCAGGGGTACATTTGACTGTGTGTGTGTTGTGTGTNTCACTTTTGAGATGTTTTCATCTTCCAAAACTAAGCCACTGTTGATGTAATATCTATAAACAATGGGTATGCATGTTTATTGCAGCAATATTGCCGGAGTTTGCAAGAAAAAATTTATTGCTGCTAATTTGCAGCCATATTGCAGCAAATTTGCAAGAAAGAATTGCAGTTTGCAGTAATATTGCAGCAGGCCTGATATTTTACTAAGGTAACAGAAGAGAATCAAAGTTATGAGATGTGTGATTAAATAAGATGAAATAAAAGGATCATGTAAAATCTATTATTTATCCCTCTGAATACAAATTTATTACTGATATTTTTTATTAAATATAGAATGCATTAGACTTTAAGGGAGCTTGTGGAAGCAGTTTCTGGTATATGAATTTCCATCCTTATGAATTCAAGAAATATTTGCAATTGGATGATTAAAAAAATATCGTCAATGAGGAAACAGTTGTGACCTTTGTTAATGATTTTATTATTCATAAACTAATGTACAAGAGAAAGGCAACCTTTTACATGTGGTCCTCCTTAAGTGGTCTCTCTGTTTAAAGAGCTGGTTGTATACAGTGCTTTCTGAATAACCTGAAGGTCACAGGTATCATCTCAAACATTGAACTTTGTACCCTGCTTTTATTTACATTTAGTCAGTCAATCTCTAGTTATTATTGCTGCCTGTCAATCGAAAAGGGCACTGGGTAGATATTTCCATGTCTTGTGATTAATGGGAAAAAGTTTATGAAGTGTTTGAGTAGGGAGTTGAGTTCTTTGTTATCTGGTTGATTGGTTTATCTTGTTTACCTCAATGTGCAGGGATTTTTAAATATTAACCTGCACAGAGAAAAAATTGGGAGTCAAAACTCTAAACATCAAACAGATTGGCTAATTCTCGCGAGATAATTGTTTTCACCTATAACATTATTCATCTAATTAAGGTGTAAATTGAAATAGGAGGAAGCCTAAACGTGAACAAATGCTGATACCAAATCAAAGTGCAAAATGTAAATTGTGTCACAGTATGTGAGAAAGTTCAGCTAATATATAACCAGAATAGGTATGCTTAACTTATTACAGTAGGAAGAGTCCAAGGGTAGGGTCCAAAGTCCAACTGACCCAGTTTGTATTGGCACCAGTGCCAAAATTTTGAGCCTTAATCCCATGTTAATCTTGTATTGACAGATCACTGAGACATCCTAGGTAGCTAGCTATCTAGGGATGTTTGAATTTTGATATATAACATATGCACTGATTTGACACCTACAAGTTCCATTAATCACTTTACTTATGAGTTACTTATTAATGCGTTGGGGTTAGATTTTATAATAACTCAGTCATTGATCTACTTCTTGATTTGTACCCATTTTTACACATTTTGTTGAAATGACCCTTTTTCTCCAAGAAAGGAACAAAATGTTTTGCCTTAAATACTCAATTTTGGTTGCAACCAACATTTATGATTTGATGATTTGATTTTACTTAAAACCTTCAGAAACAAGAGAAACCCTTTCATTGCCACGCTGTTGGCACTAGTACTCTTTATGAATTGTCAACCATGTCTGCTCACTGTGTAAAAGGTAAAAAAGACGTTGTGCTTATGTAAGTCACTCTGACCCATGAGATGGATCACATTACAGTCAGCCCAATTCTTCAGAAACATATTCTTTTAGCATTATATAGTGAAAATGGTCAATAAAAAAGAGAGGAAAAAATTAATTATAAACAAATAAATGTTGCTCTCAGGTCTATTTTTGGACCAAAAGCAATTGGGATGGTTTTCTAGATTAAAAAAAAATCCTCTAAAGAAAACATGGTTGTTTGATTGTGTATCATTGACAGTTTCTTTCATCTGAAATATTTGTGCCAGGGGGTATTCCAGGAAAATTGATGTTTTGGTCATATGAGAACATTTGTTTAGATTGTAACCAAACTGTGGGCAAAGCCATTAAACAAGTTCGTGTGGCTCAGATTTCTGTTTGAAAGGATTGGATCCAAGCTGATATCAGCTTATGTTTTTGCTGCATCTTTATATTTTCACTTTTACTCTACATGATAGATGGGTTGGATATTTCAAATAATGCAGAGAATTGCTTGCTACCCTTTCTCAGGGGTACATTTGACTGTGTGTGTGTGTGTGTGTGTGTGTGTGTGTGTGTGTGTGTGTGTGTGTGTGTGTGTGTAAGATAGAGAGAGAGCAGTGGCAGATTTATGGGGGGTGTCAGGGGGTCCAGACTGCCATCTTGGATTTCTGAAAAATTAAAATTTTGACGAGCTGAATCATAGTTCTAAATTGAACCAAATTGCACTCTTCGCCCTCTCAAATACCAAAATGTTTCCCCATGCCAAGGAGGGGGGGCACAGCTTCCCATCCACGGACCCCCCCTCCCCCCCCCCCCTCCTTTCAAATAATTATGGATCTGCCCCTGGAGCAAATGGGGGGATTAAACAATTTTAATGCCAAAATGACATCTGATCAGCTTTCTAGGTGAGGGACCCCTAGGAAATGCATCCTTTTATCTGATTATACAAACTGCTCAGGTAACATAAGCTCATTGCAAGCATATTAAAACAGGCCAGGTGTTGGAAACTGTGTGGTTATTTCTTATCTCTTCCTTTTCCTTATTTAAATCCGTAGTGTTCATTCAGCTTATGAGTCTGATGGATTAAATCCAATTAATCCATTACAAGCACTTTTACCCTTTAGTCTTTCCAGTTTGTAGAGCCCAGGTTGTGTTAAACTGGGTTTCTATACCTAGATCAATCTAACAGGATCGATCCATCTCCCTGGGGTTTCTCCCTAAATTGCTTTCAGCTTAAGTAGCCTACAGAAGTTGCCTAATGATAGTTAATTACCCCCTAGTGGCTTCAGTTGGCGTGAAAGATATCTAAGCCACTTGAGTTTATTGCAATTTAGCAGGAACCCCCTAGGAGATAGATCGATCCACTGTTAGTACGATAGTGTCTGGGAATGGTCCTTAAAACAGATTGCCTTTACACACAATGGGTAGATAGAGCATACAAGCCATGTAACAACCCCTCCCCCACCATCATTCAAAACAATTAGCCCTAGATGTCTCCTTAACAAGTGCTCCTTTCTGGAACTATCCAGTTACAATATTGACCTGGAGGTGACCCATGCAGGAGGGATGTTATGTAATGTGTAGAGAGTGTTACCAAGCAATACCCCAGAGGCTGCCAGAGCAGCTCAAGTGGTCTTGTATTGTCCTTGGAACTAAGGCAAGGTGGTGTGAGATATCAGAAACCATCAATGAAGTAATGAGGAATGCTAGCTGGGGTCCTGGGTTACCTGGCAGATCATTATGCATGCAATATCTTCATCTAATTATAATGAACAAAGGAAATTGTTTTAAATAGAGAAGCAAAAACAAAAAAAAAAGGAAAAATAGTGAATTGTACATGTAAGAAAGTTTTTATGTGTCTCTTATTGTTGGACATGCTTGTTTAGTTTTGATGATTGTAGCAGATCTAAAACAAAATCATAGAGGCAAGGCATAACAAAGAATGCTTGCTGCATGGTGTTGAAAGTTAAGGCAAGCTTTGATGGCAATAATGGCAATATCTTTAAAGGGTAGAATATTACTTCAGAATCCATAAGTCTATTTTGGTCACGGTGTCTCCAGGGATCATATCCCGCCATTTCCCACAAGCTGACATAGTTTTAAATCCGGCCCAGGTTTCCTGTTGTTTACTGGTGGCACAGCGGTCCAACTCGTTTTCCTGCCCCTGATCCTGGGTACAAGTGAAACATTATAGCAGAATGCTTTAGTTGCAAAGAGTTTGTGGTCAATTAAAATTTCTGCAGTGTTGAGCAGTAAAACTCATTATATATCATACATCTTTTTATGTACTTAAAACATATCTGGGTTTCATTAAGAAATTAAAGATTGCAAGAAGTAACAGCTTCACATTTAATAGACTGTATTTTTTCATAGTAAAAAATGAAATATGAAAACCATCTTTCTGGTGAAAAATTTTGTGTTGTCGCAAAAATATTGTATTCTGTGGAGGGTAAGGTTTTCACTGCTGGGGATGGAAGTCTTTAAAGGAATATAGGTAAAATCTGGTTCCAGTGGGTGGTTTTATTTGGCCTGAAAAAGAATTTTCTCTGAAAGTCAACTGGTTCATTACAATCCACTTAATACTGTTAAAAAATAATGCAGTGATTGAACTTGGTGTTTTACTTCTTTGAAACCTTCATTTTTCTGAACAAAGGAACTTAAAATCTCTGTAGATTCAATTGGGAATTTTAAGACAATTTTCAGTAAACCACATTTTGGACAGATTCCTGTTGTCACCTTCATACATTAGATGATTATTATGTGAAAGTTGTCCTTGACAGTCATAAGTGATGCATAGATCATGCTTTAAGTCAGCTTGAAAGTGCAATAAACATCAACAATCAAAACACTGAAGATCATATCAGTCAATATTTATTCTGTGGCTTATTTTGTTCTTAGGTTTGCGTAGCACGCACATGCAGCATGTTTACGACTTCTACAAGCCTGATATGTCCTCCGAATACCCCGTTGTTGATGGGAAGCTCTCCATACAGTGTTACCTAGGTGCCCTGGACAGATGCTATCAAACTTACTGTCAGAAAGCCGAGGCGTGTTTAAAACAAGGTGAGATCTTGATACAGTGACATTTCACATGGTCAACAAATTGTTTACTTTTGTGTCTAATGATTAACCCTGATGGAGGATGTGTCCGAAATTTGTCCCATGCCCTCGTTCATTTTAATGCTGAACCATCTGGATTTACAAAGTGTGATGTAACTGGGTATCAATAGTTTTCACACTGCATTATTGTTGGAGCATTCAATTTTTTGGTAGGGGTATTGATTTTATTTTTCATTTCGTAATTTTCTGTTAAGATGCGAGGAATTGGCTCACCAAAAAATTATGCAGAAAATTTCAGTTAAAAAAAAGCAAAAAAAAAAAAAATTGATCCCTTAACTAGTGTACTGAAGTACCCCGTGAGAGTCCAGGTTTAATTTTTATCATTAAAATGTGTACAGAGTGTTACACTGTGTTTATGCCACTTGCAGTTTCAATAATGTAATCTAATGCACTTGATAACTCTTGCCTCCTGCCTTCTCTAAACTAGTGTTGTTGGTGGTATGGACCAAAGTCCCCTGTCAACTGGATCACACTGCAGTGAGTCACCTGTGTAGGTTGAAAGATATTGAAAAGATTCTCCCATTTTGCCCTCCTTTTCACCTGAAACTTTGCACTTTGAGCCCTGTTGATTTTGTTGTCAGCACAGAATTCCTGCTGAGAGAAGGCATTATTGACAAAAAAGACTAGGTTAGTCATTCTTCTGTAATATGATTGAAAATGACTTTCATATGGGTAAATAGCACACTATATTTCGTTCTTTGTTCAAAAAAAAAAATCTATCTCAAGTTATAAACCTAAATGAGTTTTTCTGACTCTCGACACATTTTTGACTTTTTGGGCGCCAAAAATATAATTTTTGAGATCAATGCAGAGGGCCCTCTGGACCCCATGCCATATTTTAGACTTTTTCCACTGAATGGCAGCCCCATCCCTATATAAACTTGAATAAAATACAGGTGATAGATTTTCCTTGGCTGTTTTTGTCATGTTTATTCATAGGTTTTGCAGAGACGCTGTTGCAGTAGCCATTTGAAAACTTGAAAAAGATTCTTACCACACTTTGATAAATTTGTCATCAACTTAGCATTCTTTTGAAAAGAATGTTTTGGTTACCATGTCACTTACTACCAAATAAATAAATAAATAAAATTTAAATAAAATGAAATAAAATAAAATAAAGTATTTGAAAGGAAAATCTAAAATAGCAGTGCTTTTGTACATTAATAGTTAAAACCATTCACTGGAATCCTCCCTATTATTTTGCAGAGAACCTTGGCTCCCATTTTTCTCTAGACAGCAGTGCCTTCTTTGCCTTCCACACACCCTACTGTAAACTGGTTCAGAAGTCACTGGCAAGGCTGATGCTCAATGACTTTCTCAGGGACCCAGACGCAGGGGCCAATCCTAAATATTCAGGTTTAGAAGCTGTGAGGTATGGAGAAGAGAAACATTATCAAATACTTAGATGACATTATATGTTGTTATCATTGCTTACATCACATATGGTTGAAAAAATATATATATTGTTTGACCTGTTGAAGTAAGATTGGTATTTACAATAGTGTTATGAAAACTGTTTGAATAAACAATAAATGTTGTATTAGCAGTCCTTTTTATCACAGTTGAGAAAACAGTAAATACTATTGTAGAAACTCTGTTGAAGTTGTATATTGTTACTTTATGTTGAATGTTGATTATTGTAGAGGAGTAAAGCTTCAAGATACTTGAGAAAAAAGATAAACGTTTTAGTTTTGTTTTGAAATCTCTCTCTCTCAGGGGAGTAAAACTTGAAGATACTTACTTTGACCGTGATGTGGAAAAGGCCGTTATGGTGGCCAGTCAGTCTTCGTATAAGGAGAAGACAGAACCCACTTTGTCTGTAGCTAAACAGGTTGGCAACATGTACACCCCTTCTCTTTACGGAGGACTGGCATCCATTTTAGGAAGGTGAGGTATACTTCATTTATTTATTTTTTTTTTCCAAATGAAAATTTACATCACATATGTAAAGGTTCACACACCAAAATAAAACAAGAAAAATGGGAGGGCCTAGCTAAGCTAGTTAACAAATGTGGTAAAAGTTAATCATGAGTGATGTGTGACATTTTTTAAATCAAACTAAGCCTGCTTACTTTTTTTAAACAGGGACACAACAATAGCGGTAATGAAAGACAAACAGTTGCTTGCCATTAATCATTGTACTACTTTTGTGGATTTAACAAGTATTATTAACTAGGCTTGAATAACAAAATGGGCAGAGCAGGTGAATTTTGGTCATGCTAAGTGAAAGCCTTAGACTGGGTTCCCATGTTTAGATCGATCCATCTGAGCTTTACTAGGCATGACAGACATTTAAGCCAGTCAAGTTGACAGCAATTTAGTGAGACTCCCTAGGGAGATGGATCAATCCAAGTTTCTGTGGGAATAGTCCCTTAAGTAACAGAATTTCTTGCAGCTAATCCTCTATTTTGTCAAAACATTGAATTTTTTCACTGAAACAGCAATGTAAATGAAGTAGTAAAAAGTACAAATATACTTGTGATTTTGAGTTTTTTTTTTTCCTTTCACAATCAGGAAGCTATATAGTAAAAAGTAGAAATACACATTTAATTTTAGATTTTTTTTCCTTTTCATAACCAGGAAGCTACGTAGGAGAATGCTGGAATCAAAAGTTGTTAAAATACGAATATTAGTTGCCGTCTTCATTTTAGTTTCAGTAAATTTGTAAGTTACAGCCATTCTAGGACCACATCCTGCCTGTCCTGAATACAGGGCTCCAATCTGAAATGTCTTGATGGACTGGATTCTGGATTTATTTTTGACATATACATATATATCTTGCAGCTGTACAGAAAATGTTTCTGATGCCAGCAGACAGATTAAATAAATAAATGTCTGAAAGAAGTTTGGTTTGGTATATTGATAAAAAAAAAATAATTGCGGTAAACCTAAACATATGAATGGGTATTTTAGATCACTTATTGCATTGTAGGAAAGAGATTGTAAATAATTTAATAAAATTGAAAATGACTTTTTTTGAATTATTTAAACATGTCAGGTTAATAAACTAGACCCTTCCAAGTCTTCTGTTTCTAATCTGTGCTCTATTCTCTGCGAAATAATTGCCATACTTTCACTAGGAAGCTGCAATATATTTACAGGCCCTTTTCTTGTCCCTCTTCCTAGAAATCATTTCTATTTTTTCTGCGTGGCTACAGGGCAATCTGCTGCTGCTTTTCATTGTATTTTTATACCAGCCATTTAAGCACTTCAGTTTCCTGGATATTGTTGCTAACACAACACACATTAGTGTGAAATATATCTTTACAAGTCTCAAAGTATTTTTCCGTGCTAGGGGAATTTAGTACTTGCAATATGTTTTATTGGGGAGTATTTGGTGTCACATGTGTGTAGATGTGTTCAACTACTTTGTTCAGAGCTCCTTGGTTTCCATTCTGTTATATGAATTATTTTAACTAAATTATTGTATTCTTCTGGTGATGTCTGTGTAAAGGAAATTCTCTTGTTGATTGCAAATGATCCAGTGTACATATTTAAAGAATGTCTCTGATATATATATATATATATATATATATATATATATATATATATATATATATATATATATATATATTAAAAGTAAAATTGTTCTTCCTGTACGTATATATATTATATATAATAAAAAGGAAAAAAAAACAGCAGCTATTTTGCCCCGACCGGTTTCATTCTTTCTTATATATATATTCTTTTTGTAACTATTTTAATCTGGCAAGTTTTGGAGTATCCAAGAGGTATATCTATTTCTAAAATATTTTCCATTTACTTTAAGTAGGAACTTCTAGTGTAATAAGTGCAGCAGCTGCCTTTCTCACTTCTGGTCAGACTTCCACAAACAAGGTGATTATGACTGGAAATATCCCCTATCCCTAGACCACTGACCAAGTTGAATGTTTCCACAGGGCTTCTTGGACTTAATAGAGCTGGTTTATTGTCTACAGTGTGGATTGCACTTGCCCCAGTCTGTTCTGGTGAACATTAAATGTGCACTAAATTAATACCCTGTTTTCCAAGAGTTACAAAACATTTATGTCAATTTCCTTCTACGGTTGTAACTAGCAGTTAATGTTAGGGCCTGACCTCGTGTGATTTATTGCGGATAACTACTGGAACATTGTCCTTTGTGGTTGATAATAGGTGTTAAGATGAAACTCAAACATTTTGTCCAAGATACTGATGGCATCCCTCCCCAAGCAACACACACACACACACACACACACACACACACACATGAAAAAGAGAAAAAAAACATAGGAGTGAAGCTAGAATTGAAATATATCCACTTATGTCATTACCAAAATTTCAATTTACTGTTCAGTGCACGAAATATGTATTTTGTGTTTGTGCATATGCACATGAACAATATCGAGATGGTTATTAGTCCACCTGTTCAAACAAACCAATACAACTGAATGCGATTAATCCAGTTTATTGGCAATGTTATGAGTCAAGCATATAAAATATCTATCCCTTGGAAAAATTCAATTGGTTTAAACATATAGAAATTAAAGTTGGAATTATAGTGCTCTAAATATATTTTTGATCCAAGTGAAGAAAAACCTGTCATTGTCACATAATGCAGTCCTTTCTTTCTATTTCAGCTACTCCTGCAGTGAGCTAGCAGGCAAGAGGGTGACTCTGTTCTCCTATGGCTCTGGCCTGGCTTCTTCCATGTTCTCTCTACACTTCTCAGAAGATGCCAGTCCAGGATCCCAGCTAGAAAGGGTGTGTTTGTCCCTCTGTGATCTCCAGGAAAGACTAGATTCTAGGAAAAAGATGCCACCCGCTGATTTTGATAAGATGATGAAGCTTAGGGAGGAAACTCACCACAAAGGTATTGAAACAGTTTTGAGTATTATAATCAAGTCAAATTTGAATAATTTATTTACTTGGCAGTGATTGTTTGACAAGTTGTTATATTATTCTGATATCGAAAAAATTTGCACCTTTAAGATTTTATTTTAGATGAATGATATTAGAAATAAGCTGATTGGTTATTCTCTTTTTTAATGTTAAACAGGTCAAGTGAAAGACATTTACTTCCAAATGGTAGAGCACTCATTGTCGTATTCTGAAAATTTCTAATGTGCCAAGAATTTTAAGTCTATACAGGAAAAAAGACAACACTTTAAGAAGAAAAATTATTTTTCTCCAGCTCCATACACCCCAGTAGGTGATGTGGAGGCATTATTCTCAGGAACATGGTATCTCACAGAGGTAGACAGTAAACATCGCAGGAAATATGAACGCAAAGCTCTAGCACAAGCCACAAGCATTCCATCTTCTCCTGTAGCAGCTGCACCCCCAGTGTCTGTAAGTATCCGTTCATAGGATGTATGGGATAGGATAAGAAAAAATTCAGTGACTAGACCCAGTACATACAATTTTCCAAATGGTCAACTCACTAGTAAGTTTTATACCTAAAAACCCCCCAAGTATCCAAAATTTTATTTGGCCTCTAATGTGAGACCATACGAAACCCATGTAACTGAGATGTTATCAGGCTTTTTGAATCATTATTGCAGACTCCTACAACCATTTTAAAAACTAATTTATTGCATGTAATTGAATTTGATTTCCCAGTGCAAGTCCCAATGTCTGGCCCCTACTGTTCAGCTGGTCCCCACACCCAGATCAGAACCTGAATTTTCAACTTTGAAAAATGTCTCCCGCAGTCCCACCATTTTCCATATGGTGTTGCCATGGCATCATGGCCTGTTAAGAAAATTTGGCGTCTGAGGTTTTATGTGCACTTGTCGCGTTTGTTACTTGGTATGATGTATGGATCTGGCAATACAAAGCTTTTGACAGACTGTAATTACTTCAGCGAAGAGAAATGCACAATATGACACATGGCGTGGAATTTGTTCCTCCATTGCCACCCCAGACATTTCACCTGTCCCTAGTTTTCATTGTTTGCAATAGAATTTTTAAGAAATTATTCACCCCTTTTTATTTTGTTTAACAGAAAAAGTATCAGAAATGATATGGTATTTTGTACATTAGATTGGCACTTAATTCTGTTTTTAATTTCTTTCTTTCCAGGTAAAAGGGCTTCCCACAGCATCTGCACAAGCTGTTGCTGCCTCTACAACTTCAAATTGACATAAGTTAAATTTCTAGGAAAAAAGCTCAAATTAAGACCTTTATACTTCTTTGCTTACATTCATAATATATAAAAATTCAGTATTGGTTTTAATCAATTTTAGTATGGAGTTATATAACTAATATTTTTATGACAACTTATGTTTATGCTCCGTAGGCAAAATTAGGTTGATGTAGCATATGTGTTGGTGCATATATGTATATTACAATAATAATAAATATTAAACAGGGGTGGACAGTAAATTTACTGATTTTGTGAAGTTTTTATTCACAGACATCTCACATACATAATATGTCAAAATAGTGAAAATGCCAAACTAATTTGTATTGTTTTGTTTGTTAAGAATTTTTTTAAGTTTTCCATTGGTTTTGATATTGCTTTGTGAGTCACTTTTGTATAGCATTTAAATATTAGCGTATACAATTAAATGTGTCACATCTCTTTTGAGGTCACATGTTTTTCTTGTGTGTTGAAATGGAGAATGTTCAGCATTTAGAATATTTCAGAATTTCTTATGTACCATAGCATCACTAAGTTGAAACTGACAAGTTTTAAAAACTTTTTATGTCCGATTGTATGCTGATAAAAACTACTATAGAGCAGTAAGAGATGTGATAGAGCCTCAATATGTTCAGTGATTTTAGCACCTCGTGCAAACTGATTTGGGGATTATTTGTCTAATTCAAATGGGGTTTGAATTAAGTTGCCTGTACGCATTTATGCTGAAGTGTATGTATGCAACATTTGTGATTTCTAAAATGGATGGAAATAAAATATTTTTATTAAAAGATAGACATTCTTCTGTGAGTAAAGAGCAGTGACTGTATTCCGATTTGATGAGAACAGAATGTTTTAGACGAATTACTGTACAGAAGTTAATAATATTTGGCTTATATAAGGATCCTTGTACAAATATTTACATATCAAAGAAACAGTATTTCTGCCAGGCATTATAAATAGATACAGTTATTAAATTCAGTGTGTTGAAATATGGTAATAGATTCGGAATTTCACTTCCGAACTATCTTCATAATCGATTGCATCTTTATGCTAGATAAGATCTATGAAAATGCGTTAGATGAGAAGGCCTGAGCATTGCCCGTTTGCTTTTCTTGTGCATGGAAAATCTAATTAACCTTTTTCATCTTTTGCGGAAATACGAAGTGCGCATGACAGGAACCACGCGCCACAGGGGTCATGGTGGTCCTCTGCTGTTTCCAGCTAGGTGTAGATNCATTTTTTACCCCGAGTTCTATTTGCCGATAGTTCGTTATATCCGTTGTTTAACTAAGCATTTCTGTTTTTTATTAAAGCACCGTTGATCTCCTAATATTATAGTTTTTCTTACCGCCTTCGAAATGTTCAGCGCAAACGCGGTGCCCTGCTTTTGATCCAAACTTGCTATATTTTCCTTTCTTTCTACCATATTTTTCATTCTAACGGGTTTGTTGGGAACTTATTAAACGTCATGTGTCGATCTCGCTTACTGTTATTGTAGTAGCGGGACAAAAAGCACGTAAACCCAGCCATGGTTTTAAGCACCGCTGTAAGTGTTTCGACGTAGCAGGGCTCCCCTACCCACAATGCAATTTCCATTTCCGGAAAAGATGAAAAAGGCTAATTGCGTTTGTTGAGAAGCCCCGTGTTGCAACTTTCCTTGTGCATCAGCTGAACACAATTATTCCCTCGAGCGTAGTGTACACCTTTTTTTAAACCAGATAACAAACTGGGAGACAGACGTTCAGATTTCCGATGAAATTCAGGAGCAGGATATTAATTGCTTTGTTCATTGGAACCATAGCACATTTGTGTTTATCAATACTGAGTCTTTCCAAGAAGAATCATGCCACATCCAGGCAATTCATTTCTAACGGGATGGGGGAGGTGTTGCTTTTTGATTCACATGAGAACCCTCCTGCAATCGGAATGCCGGTGGCGCATAAGCTAGGTGTAGACGTACCCGAGCGCAAAGAATACGTATTTGGTATCCTTGCAAGCGACCCACCCATTGGAATCGTTCAAACACTGGCGTCAATATTAAAACACGTGGCTATGGAAGACAGAGAGAAGATTGGCATTATCGTTCTGCTGACCACCATGTCCGATTCTGCTAGACAAAATATTGAAATGGAAATGGTGAAGCATTTTTCAGAGGAAATACAAATTGGAATGATGGAAATCGTCACTGCACACCCGACCTTTTACGAAAATAATATGAAGGGGCAGTCGGATAGATCGGTGCTGAGCTGCGCTTATCTTATGCAGTATAGTCATCAAAGAGGCGATTTCTACATTCATTTGGATGATACCGTTATTGCCACTAGAAGACTGTTTCCTGCGATTGAAAACTTCCACAGATCTGTGCGGCACAACTATTGGATCTCAATTGACTTTTCTACAATGGCAATATTAGGACAACTGTTCAGATCGAGCGAAATATTACACGTGGCAGAATTTTTCATTTCGTCTAATGCGTCTTCGTCACCTGACCGTCTACTTCAACTCTACGTGGATTCCCAGCAACCACCGTGTCATATCGCGAAAAACAGACCAGTTCAGCGTCACTGTTTTCAGGAACTTGGTTTGTCGCGGGTTTTACACCGCCCATCTTTATTCACGCACAATAAAAATTTGACAAAATCCCGAAACAATTTAGCAGAAAATGAATTTCCCAACTCTCCGTTAACGTATGAGCCATGGCCGTGGGACGACGTTCCAATCTACATAAACCCTCCAGCAAAACTGAGCACCTCACTCCGCCACCATCACAACCACAGCTTGGAGAGAGCCTACCGCTATCTAGACTACTTTTATGCCATTCAGCCCAAGGCGGGGGACATGATTTACTACAATTTCACGCCTCCGGTCGTGCTGGAGGAGTTTTTCATTCAATGTGGGAGCAAGGAGCATCCATGGATTAAATTTTCCACCTCTACGTATGTAGACGTTCTGCCACTGCTACCCGATAGAATTAACTTAAAAAACGGTCCTTTCTTTAACTACGGTTTCCTAGACGACGGATACGTTAAAGTAGCGCGTTTTGACAATCGCGGAAAGACTGAGGGTCCACTTGGGGATAGGTTTGGCAGGATAGTCTCTGTTCGAATTCGGATAACTACAGACCACGGGGACTGGGTACCGGTGCGGCACATGAGTTTCAAGTTACAATTGATACCCAGCGGGAGAAGGCCTTGCTGTGAGCCCTACTGGCCAGACCCCTTTCCCGGGGGAATACCGGGGGTGCGAAATGTGCGTGACTAAGTGAACTATCTACACTTTCTTCACTAGAAATGTGATGATTGAAAGCAGGGTTCGCGTTGTCTGTGGATTACGCGCGCACAGAAATTACACTGATCTACACTAGCCGGAGAATTGCGAATTTGCAGACGATTTTAGCGAAGAGCAAATACCATTAGTACAATGTATCTTTTTATTAAGAACTATGCATGCAATTATAGTCTGAGACCAAAGGTATATTTTACGCTGTTAAAAAAAAAAGACAAACTAATATTTCATAAACATTTTATTTGAAATCATTCAGAAAACAACTAAATATCAGCTTGCTGGCTGAATCCTTTTTACACAATATGTAAATCAGGGCTGTAAAACGAATGTAACATACGAAACTAAAAACTTTCTCATTTCCTTTAATAAATTAAAAATGTGTAACACGACTAAAACTTATGAACATTCAGTAAATTAAACATTATTCTAAGGGATAATCACACATCAATATTATATTAACATATAATAATAATAATAACAGTAATAACGTTAATAATAATACTTATCATTACTAATAACAGCAGTTATCACATATACTAAACAAATATTTTATCACAACCAAGACAATTAAGTATCGCTTATTTTTCTTTAGTTTGAGTCTTTTTAAATGAAAAAACAATACAACACTCTCCGTTCAGCCTTACTTTCTAGCCGACTTCTTAAAAACAAACAGATAAATTTGTTCTGTATTATTATTTGTTTCAGGATAAAACGTTGATCAATGGTCCAAATCTCCGGTGATAACTGGCAAAAGGACACTAAGAAATATAACAAAAAATGTACATGGGTCCAGAGAGATATAAATATACAAAGATTTTTTTAAAGCTTGTAGCGGACAAGTTTTTCGGGGTTCCGTTGTACCTATCAGGCTTAGACGTCCAGATGTG